ACAGAATATCAGTTTAAACATTTCTTAACCAAGATGAAGAAATCTAGTCGTAAGATTGCTAAGAATGCGTTAGCACTGGACTCACGTACGATATATAGTTTTGGATATGGGCGGATTGGCCGAGTGGTTATCACTCCGGCCTTTCACACAGGGGTCCGGATTCGATCCTCGAAGTCGTCGTACGATTGGATATTCAGATAAAGTGTTTTTCTCCTGCCCACACAACTCTACCAACCCAGGTGGAGTATAAAATGGTCTTGGGTGAGGTGGATGTTGCGGTATCTGTGCTGTGGCATTCAAATGAGGTGGCACTATAAATGATGACGTTGCAAGAACGATACCACATTACATCTCAAGCACACACGAAGGTCTACACATATAGGGTGAATTAGCCAGGTGGCATATGTCTAGTGTTTAGCGCCTGATAAGGCAGCTCCTGTTAATTCCTCATAAAAATGTATTGATTAATGTATATGCTTATTGCATTAGTTGTATATCATTGTATGTATAGCGCTTTAGAGTTGCTTATGTTAGCTAGATAGAGCGCTATATCAAGTGTTGTATATTACGATTATTATTATTATATGGGCAGTGTTGGGCGATAGGGCAGAAATATTACCCTATCCTTAGCCATGTTCTCTGTTATAACCATTATACTTTACTGGTTTCACATTATTCTTCTGGGTTTATGTTGTAACGACACTTTTCATTGGTTTATAAACATGATCTATTGGACCATGCACGTGCGTGTATTATTTTTAACAGACCAACGCTCTTCCAAAAGCCTCCGGCAAATGGATCGGTAAACAAGCAAGTCAAAGGTCTGGTTTCATTTGTGGTTAGGGGTATCCGCATTTGATACTGCTTTAAGATTTGCTAGTGGACAAAGAAAACAATTCTACTTAAAACCTGTCAAAGTCACGGTGATTATATTCCTCTAAACTAACCGCGAAGGTGATTTGTAAATCTGTGAAATACTGATTTTATGTGTTGACGAGCGATGTCGATAGATTGAACTTGATTGATTGAAATAAACATCTGACACAATGTATGACGGCCGTGTCTATTGTTTTTCGTGTACAGACCAAATGGCGATTGAAAAAGAAGAACACTTTCCAAATATATACAGGTCAAATGCATAATTAGAACAACTACTCACAAAGCGAAAATTGATACAACAAATGTAAAAGAACAGCTTTATTTTAATAATTAGATTATCTATGTCACTTTGCCTATCAAAGGTGTATGTGCCCGAAAATCTTTCATTACATTTTCATTTAGTGGAATAGATATAAACAACGTATGTCTGTACAACAAGTTGAAATATATAACTTCGGATTTGAAAATGTTGGGAAAATAATCAACTCAGGCCGAGCGACCTTCGTTGATGTTTTCTTTCCGACATTTTCACCAGAATTCACTCACAAACGTTGATTATAAGGTAGGTGTAAGCTCACCTGGTAACTGACGTGACGGGGTTCGCTACGGTGGCTGATTTGTGCCATTTCGTTGTTACTTCTTTTCGCCCCGAAAGAACGACAATTAACAAACATTAAATTTCGGGGAGAAAAGACGAGAATTAAGGTTTGTTAATTGTCGTCCTTTCGGGGCGAAAAGTCAAAAGACGAAACAACGAAATGGCTAAAATCAGCCAGCGTAGTTCGCGGAGCGTAAAGTGGGTGGAATAGGGAGAGCTACGTCCCTTTGTACACTCGGTGCTGGTTGCATGTTAATTGAGCAGTGAGTATTTGCTAATTGTATATATCAAAATAATCACTCGGCTTGTTTTACCTTGGTTTTCACGTTAGCTTACTCATTGTTACTCAATCATATGTCCATGTCCGTAATTTTCAGCATGGCAGCTCATATGATTTGTAGTTGAATTACACTCCTTTCATTATTTAACAATGTAACTCATACTTATTCTAGACATTGTCATATCTGTATAGTATACGCGTGTGTGTGTGTGTTTAGGTATATGGTTAGATTAAACGCACTGTGTACTGTAATTCAAGGACCCTGCGAAATAACCCCTTTACACTATTCACAATCTGGTAGTGTTTGTTGACAATTTAATTTTAAATTTGCAAATACAATACAATTGACATACTGTAGAAAGACATTCAACTTCTGTCTGTTGGGTAATTAAAGAGAAATTACACAGTTTTTGTCAACGTGCGGTCAGTCATCCATCCAACTTCTGACCACGCTCGTTGAAGGTTAAACAGCATCACTGGATACGCTAGTTTGTAGCTAAGGCAGTATGTCCCCCTCAAAGTCATCTCTGGAGTTGGACACAATGCGATTCTTTAATGCATGCAGTTTTACTGCATTTTTAAGGATCCTAATCATTTGAAGACGAAGACGTGTCAATTGCGTCTTGTGAACTGTTAGGCGTATATATAGCAAAATATCAGTATTGGACAGCTTCAGTCTGATACTAAAGGACCCTTTTAACTGTTTCTTTGAAATTCGACCTAGCTCTTAAAAGCATGGTGAAACCCTGTTAGGAAATTTCAAATAAACCTAGCACCCCAAGCGGCCAGCTTGGTGAGAATAACATAACACTCACGGTCAAAACTGGACGATAGCTGGACGGATGACTTAATGCATAAACATATTGACAAAAGTATATCAAATGTATTAGGAAAGCAGACATATTTCTGTGCTTTAAAGCAATGATTGACTTGTGATGTTTCATTTTTTGTCTACAATGGTTTCAATTTACCACCTCTTTTAAAACGTACAATGTATTTAGATTATTTGTTCCTTTTTAAGTGTGTAAACTGTATATTCGATTGTCCATATCATATTGAACAAATCGATTTTATGGTTCTAAACAGGTCTCTTATATGCAGCTGTACGGTGGTTTTTATCCGGTTGACGTTAGGAAACACAGTGTGTTAATTAGGTGTCAGAACAATTTTAGTTTCCTTCATGCTCAGCCAGATAGCCAGTGTTTAGCAAATCACTAAAAACGATCACAACAGAAATGAAGCAAATTAGTTTCTAATCCATTACACAAGTTTTTGTTTTTTTTATGTATCATGTATGTATTTTTTGTAAAGGACTTGGGACGTTATGAGTCATTTTTGACTTTCTACTTGAATTTATTTACCAATTTCTGTTTTAAACATCAGATTTGTTAATAGGGGCTATATTTCTCGGGGCAGATTTATTCCAATGTGCATGCGGAGATGCCCTACTATAAAAAATAAAATTGCGTTGCTACGCAGAAATATACAAAATATGGTATTTGTGGACTGTTAGCATGCAGAAACTAAAGCCTCCGCACGTGACAAACAAAACATTCTTTCTACGAATGAACACTGGTATGGCAATGTTTACGCACGTCAAATATCTATTTGTTTGGTGCATGCGGAGGCTTTCAAAAATATTCAGTTATTTTCCTTTAAATTTATGGGTTTCGTCTCTCTTTGTAATGCCATACTTCCTAAACCACGTTTCGAATGATTTGCGTACTTCATTTATTCCAGATAACGAATATTACAACTTATTCTAAATCCCAGATGTGGCCAGAAATGGCTCTAAACGACCCTTGTCCTTAACGTTTGATCTGTGATATAGTACTTGGTAATTTATTGTGAACTGTTATTTCTTATCAACTTGTACGTCGGCCTTATAAATAAAAACGAAATAAGTAAATAAATAGATAATGTGCATGTGCTAGACTTGAAATTATGAGGACGACACACCAAAATACTATCCACGATACTCAGATGTGTCATAGTTTTTGCTATTGAATGGTATGTATCATACACTACACAACTGACCCATATGTTTATAGAATATTATACGTCCCTTACCGGCATCAGAGGTACTTTATATCGTCTTGGACCTTTTTTAAAGTACTTTGTTTTTATCTTTTGTACCTTTTGCTACATTGTGATCACAACAATGTTTCTGATTGTGAGATACGTGGGGCTCACTGGGGAAAAACAACGGTGTATCACTGAAATGAATAGATGACTAACAACATTTAGATTGCATCCAACAATCAGGTGTATGGAGTGTAAAGAAATGTCTTAATTCGCCAACTGCTCGGCTTAGTCTTTTGAATTTCTTTTTAGTTTCTTCGATTTTAGCTGGTAAACGTGGACATGAAAAATCTACCGGAGGGTGTAGAATTTCGGCTTAGAACCACGGAAATGCTTCGATTCTAACCCCAATTCCCCCGTAATGATTGGCTCGTTTTCTCCATCCACTTACCAAAGCTTTTAGTAGACCAACACTGCCATATAAGAAGGGAGAATCAATGCACTTCAGTGTGCAGAGTTACATAAACAATCTGTAATTAGTGACAAACCCCTCTATATATTATAAAAACAGAACTTTCAGAAAATCAAATATAAAATTAGCTCATATATATTTATAGAGTTATTGATTTTATAATTGGTTCATAAAAAAATGATAACTTCAGATTGTTGACCTATAGATTAAAAAGCTGCTGTAGAAACATTCAAATAATTATCGATGCGGTCTCACTTTTAATTTGGGTCAAATTGTAAATCAAGTGATGTACTGGTAGTTTTCATGAGAACATCAACCATTTGTCAAGCCACAGTATTGTATCGTTCATGGTTTAAGATATTTATTTCCAAAGCAAATCGTGGCAAAACACAAACCCAGATAAATATTATAAAAATGTTATTACAGCAAATATATGTATTTGACTTTGACTACGATGCATGTCATGTACGTTTTCATTATTCTGTAGATTTTATGTACAATTAGCAACTTATTATGTCGTAATCATTATATAATATTTGAGTAATATATTAGTATTAATTACTTAAGTTCTGTGTCGGTCGCTACACATCATTAATTATGTATAATAACAACAATGGAGGGGTTTATACTTGAATATGACCTCGTTGTTTTATTCTCATATATATGATTGTACTGATGCACCTTAGGCATGTATAAACAGGGATTTAAATGACGTGTTGTAAGTCACTTCCTGTATTACAATGTATAGGTGTAGTCATGTGGTTAAATATAGAGTATGCACATCTTGTTGTTACCCCGTCACTCAGTAAGTGTACTTGATATTTTGGAGATATATTAGCTGCCTGTGTTATAAGATACCGGAGTTCTCGCGTAGTATTTAGGTATGTATAAGATGTATAAGATATTAAGTTAATTGATTGATAATTATGACGTTATTTTAAGTATGCATGATAATTACTTGAGACTTTGTATTGTTCCTCTTATATCTCTATTAATATAAAGGATCATGGCAAAGCAATGTTTAACGTTACAATCAACAGCGCCGAGTGAGATCAACTTGAGATTCGCCTCGTTAAGCTAGGCGGCACTCGCTTGTTATATGACGCGCTCGGTGGTTTCCGCTGATAAGGTCATTGTCTAGAGGGTCGGTAAATGTTAAAATATTAATTGTAAATTAAAGGTGTCTCCTTACTTTATACAAATTAAGTATTTCCCACTTACCAACTGAGCATCTGAGTAATTTTAATGAGGAACTGATGACAGATTTTTTTTATTATTTTTTAACTTCAACTTTTGTGAAAAACAACATTTTCTTTTAATATACCGATACTTCGTTTAAAATACCAGTATTTCGATATCTATATGTGGATTTGCACAGGGTCCAAAGTCTAAGGCCATTTGTTTTAGGTCACCGGTTTTGCATTTTAAACTTCCGGGGTTGTCAACGTCTGGATGTTGTGATACCCTTACATGCCATTAAAACTACCAAAAAGTCATTCTGTAGCCATTGTAAGGTATGTATCTATCATTACAGACATTTATTGAACTTCAAATATTAAAGTTATTAACTAAAATGTTAAGTAAAATCATATAGTAAATGATGTATTTGTTCAAGTCCCAGAAGCAAGCTCGCACTAGGTCATTATCTAGTACGTCCGTTTCCTGCTTTATTTAAAATACTTTGTCTCTATCAGTGTCGCTCCACTTAGGTTACACGATAAGAGAAACTTTATTTCTTTCGAGCAATTGTAAGGAAGTCGACCAACAATATCATGTCGACTCTTAATTCCTTGTCAGTTTCAATATTTAAAACGTTTCTTTAATGTTAACAAATTACGATGCTTCCAACCATTAATCAAGGGAAGGGGGGAACCTATCTTCATTTTTTGATATCAAAAGAGGTTGTCAACAGGGGGACCCGATAGCACCATATCTGTTTATTCTATGTGTTGAAATTTTGGCAACTAAATTACGAAATAATGAAAATATAAAAGGTCTTAATGTTGAAAATATCCCTATTCTGCTATCTCAGTATGCTGATGATACATCTCCAGGTGCTTGATGGGTCAGAGAAATCCCTGAAAGAAGCAATGATGGAGCTCAATGAAATTGCTTAAGTCTCGGATCTAACAGTGGGGTAAAGAACGATTTATGTTGTTAGGAATCGAATTCAGTCTGAATATGCATGAAACCCCAAAGCTGAATGACAAAAAACTAATCAAACTAAAGTCACTTATAAAAACATGGAATCATTTACTCCTATTGAAAGAATTAACATCCTATTGAAAGAATTAACATCTTCAAAGTCCCAATTTGACATAACAGCAAAATTAAGATGGGAGGAAGAGTGCTTTTTTATAAGAATTGGTAAAGATAACATAAATATTATCAGTGACTTAATTAAAAACTCCAACACTTGTATATTTTACACATTACAAGAATTCATTCAAAAGTAAATGCTAACTTTCTACCAAACAATGTATCATGGTCTTCTTTCAGCAGCAAAAGAGTGTATGCCTTCATGCAATATGTATGGATCTGATATTGTAATCTGCCCTTACATACTAATCAATTAACAGACAAAAAAAGGGTCAAAAGTATGTGATTCCATCTGGCACCACAAAAAGGAACAGTGTGTTTAATGTCATTGGCAATGTTACCTGCAATAAATACTACAAAATTCTATTCCAAGTAAAAAATGACCAAAACTCTAGTGGTTCCAATACAGAGTAACCCCCTTTCTCAGTTATTAAAAAATCTTTCATCTTTGGCCTCCTTCATCAGAAAGTCCTTCCCAGTAATTGTGTAGACAAAGAGTTTTTATTATAAAACAGTACATGTACAAAATGAGATGCTTGCATAATTCACTAAATAGAAATGCCCTGGTGAACACAATCTAATTACACACTCACTGCATATTGCTAATGATTTCAAAACAAAGCAAAGCGAAAACCAATGTAAATAATGGGATCGACCACTATAGTTTAATCTATGATGCTTTAATATTATTACATCATCCACATAGATAGTTTTCGTTTCACTGTTTAGAACCACTTATAGTCCTTGACAGAGCCGCAAAATTGTGTGTATGGACCAATAGCCTACTTGTTATCAAATAAACAAATTCTACAAATTCTACCACCATTTCAATATCTCTCTCTCTCTCTCTCTCTCTCTCTCTCTCTCTCTCTCTCTCTCTCTCTCTCTCTCTCTCTCTCTCTCTCTCTATTTGTGCTTCTGAGTGAGAGTGTGGTGCATATAATGATGATGATGATGATGATGATGATGATGATGCTGATGTAACATATCTTTAAAAAATGCTTGAAAAAAACACGTAAAACATACGTTGCTTCCGCGGCGACCTCATTACTCATTAATCAAGTTTCGCCTTTAGCGGACGTGCCTCCGCGATGTGACGTTATGATTGAAACAACGATGTCAATAAACATAATAATAAATAGTATTGTTATGTGTTTAAATATCCTTTTGAGACCGTTACAAATCCAAATATGACATTAAAATAGTGCGAAATGTTAACTTAATGTTTACCGGTTGTTGTAACCACGGACTTTATTAGAAAACTTGAATCTCAGGAAAGGGCACGTGCTTTGTGCTGATCCTGTAGTGAAATATTCTAGTTAAACTTAGTGAAACTCAATTTTTTCGTCTTTTTTAATGACCTTGTTGTCTTTTTTAAAAGAAATAAAAATTTGAAAATGTAAATATAAACACTTAACATTCTTTTGTAATGCAGATGGTATTCATATTGCCTATGAACCGCATATGAAAGCAGTGTAATGCTTCAGTTAACATTGTCTAGAAGCGTCCATTATTTCTGTCATCTCAGTATACCGCGATCCTAAATTGGGGCTCATCACAGGTCTTTAAGAGCACTGAAATGAAACAATATTCTTGCTCATTTATAATGCTGTTTATTCAGTCGAAATTTTGTTCGTAATGAACATTCAAATATATATTGACATTACTATAAGTTGATAAGTCCTTACTGTAGATTCTTGAATCTTGGTGGAATTCTGTACATCTTTTTAATTGTCGTTATTGTCCTCTGTAAAAGACATAAATAATTGAAAATGTAAGTAGTTACACTTAACTGCTTTAAGATACCCGATGCTATGTTTCTTAGAGGTGTATTCTGTTTCACAGTGGCTAAATATCAAAGTACTGAAAATACTCAGTGAACACCGTCATATGATCGAACAAAGGGTGTTGCATATTATTTTTCACTATATCTTTGACCATAGTTTTTATATGGACATTCTTGGGAAAGAAATATCACATTTGTAAAAATAAGACTGTTACCCCAACTGGGAAACATCATTATTTCAATTTTTAAACATAAATGCACTAACTACTTTCTAAACATTTTTTTTCGTCGGGTTGCTGAGTATGCATTTTAGAAAGTTTCGTGTAGCACAACCAGTTAAGTGTTTATCTGTGACGTTTCGATGACTCGCACAGTATGTACTCCACAGCATCATCAGACATATGACCAGTAAGGCGTTTGTACACAAAGGTGTAAAATGATTATATTCGAGTTGGCAAAATAGAAGTATAACGCTATAAGCTTATGAACACTGTAAAATGTAATATATGTAGCGTATAACGAATCAAGCCTATTATACAATGTAGAAATGAGATGTGCCCGCTCATCTCTATTCTGCGTATCCAGATGGCTTCCTTTCTTCTCTCTCTGCCGTTGGAAAAGATTGCTCTTTCTGTATAACACTTCGGGGTTATCCCAGTAAATAAATCATTTTTCTGTACAGCAAGATCTGTCTGTGAATGGATAAGCGATGCAGTTAATAGTGAACAACACCAAGAAAATGGTATCATATTTGTTTGATGAATGTCGATTCTTCCAAGGAGATAGAGTGAATGGGTTTAAAACGAGCGAATTTGCATATATAATCTACAAAATGCTGCTTCTCTAGAGACGTTTCGTTTTAAAACAACAACACAGTCACCAATCGATAACTATAACTAGTATAACAAAGTCTGGTTTCTTTAAATGAATTAGATTAACCTTGAAATCCTCGAAAGTTACAGATATGTATTAATAAAGTCTACTTTACATAAAGCTCTGCTTAATTGCACTATTTACTCAAACTCCAAATCTACAAACTACTCTACTGGACTCAGACCTAAATCTACAAACTACTCTACTGGACTCAGACCTAAATCTACAAACTACTCTACTGGACTCAGACCTAAATCTACAAACTACTCTACTGGACTCAGACCTAAATCTACAAACTACTCTACTGGACTCAGACCTAAATCTACAAACTACTCTACTGGACTCAGACCTAAATCTACAAACTACTCTACTGGACTCAGACCTAAATCTACAAACTACTCTACTGGACTCAGACCTAAATCTACAAACTACTCTACTGGACTCAGACCTAAATCTACAAACTACTCTACTGGACTCAGACCTAAATCTACAAACTACTCTACTTGACTCAGACCTAAATCCACAGAATACTCTCTTTGACTCATCGCGAATCCTCCCTGAATAAGGCCATCATATTCTAAAATGCTATCACATACTACACTTAGTTAATAACATCCTATACTAATCATAAGTAATGGCAAGACAAACGAAAGATGAAACAAATAGATAAATACAGAGTTACTTCAAATTGCAAACTATGGAAACAACATAGTGCTTAATACCGAGGTAGTATCTGATAAAAGATCATGATATACGTCTAGTAAATCTATTAATACCGAGGTAGTATCTGATATTTAGTTTATCCTGTTTAGAGATACCAAGACCATTGACCCTATCAATTTCACTCAGCCACTGGACCCTTATCCAATATAAACATTAATACACCAAATTAGGCATCTAAAGTGAGTGACTTACTCTTTAATCATGAATACAAAATCATCTTCTCTAGACAACACGTCAACATCACTGATAATCTCTACAGTTATGAAAGGTTTTAGTCCGATAACAAACACGCGCATTATAACGAATATGCGAAAAGTACAGCACATTTTGAAGACATGCACTGAAAATTAAAAAAAAATATCCCAAGGATTGAAATATAAATCGAATTGATGCATTTGCAAAGAAAAATGTGACACTAGTCACATTTCACGTTTTGAGCAAATTCCAATAAATTTGTCAATGCAATATTGGGTTGTTGGTCGCCGTGAAATATCTGTTCTATCGTTAATGACAGAAGAGGTTCAGACCTTGCAGTACTATGATATGTATTTTAAAAATATTGAAATAACTAGGAGGATAGTGGGAAAAGGTTTGAAGAAGTTGGCATATCTAATTAATATGAACATAAGTCTCAATGCTAGAAAGATGAATTACGAAAGAAGGTTTTATGAGTGGAAATTTTATTGAACCCGAAATTTATGTTGGTAAAAGTGTTATATAAAGTCAAAAATTGTAAAGGGCATTTTTTAAAGTTGATTAACATATAAATGGTGTTTTGCGAAAAGAATAGCATCACATATGGCTAATGGGTCTATATCGTTTAAATAATTGTAAATTTGATATGAAAGTCCATCAAATTGCGATTTCCGTTTTGTTTTTGTGACGTAGATCCCATTAAAGTTATCAGTGTAGGTGGCGCTGCAGTCACACTCGTGGTCAAGCTAAAGTTCCAGCAATGTGTTAAAATTTATTGATTTAAACTAACATATACTAAATTAGTCGTAGGCTGATTTTCGCCGTCATTGCAACATCTCATTTCTAGTGGCATGTTAAAAAGTACCTATCTTTAACATTTGTCAAACATTGAAAAGTGAGAAAGGTTTTTATGTTAAAGGTACTGATACAGCTTAGTCTAAGACTGGTCCCTGAGTTGTGCCGGAACCGTAACAAAGTCAGAGTCTGAATCGAAAATGCAAGGTAAGTAAATTTTACTACTCAGTTGGAAGTGGTCGACTTGCAGACCGATAGGTACTTAAAGGGGGTTCGCAACGATTGGGAGGTGGTCCTCCGTCATATCTAGGCAGTATTGGTTTCTAAAACATATGTACATTTTCAGCCAAAAATGATTAAATGATTAAATCTCTTATCCTTGTTCTGTCCGTCGTCCGTCCTTCTAAAATGCATTGATATTAACATATTGATTTTTTTCTTTCTGTCTTGTTAGACCATAATCAACAGATAAGTTTTTGAGAACAATCACAATAAACGTCAGCTACAATTTCGGTTGCTTAACCAAAAAGAATGAAATATATGAGTCCACATATCGGAAAACTTTAAACAATTGCCTTTTTCAGAAAATAAATTTCTGAAACTCTCTTTACGTCATAGCTTTTTTCTTTGGTTAATAAAAAGGTTTTAATATGAAAAATGTACATTGTTCAACACATATCCCTTTAACCCCAAATTGGAACTTACGAATAGTATCCATAAATAATTCAATCCGGGATCATTTGCAAGGGGCGGGGCCAGACCTTGGGACATACATATGATTATAGTGTTGAGATTTCAATCATTTCAATCATTAAGGGCCAACCATTTGATCTTGGGACGAAATTGAAAGACAAAGAAAATAAACAAATTTACACACGTCGTTTGATAGTGATGGATATAGAAGGATTCCAGTTGGTCTCTTAAGGTCATGGCTTCTGAGACGTAAACAGGGCCAGAGATAGATGACCATCGTTTAGGTAAATCCTATGGCTAACTGCACAATAACAAGACGCATTCCTGAGTATCAGACATAGGTACATACGGCGAAATACAAGCACATACACCTTTAATATTTTGACAGAATAACATACCTCTTTTACATTGTGGAAATGTCAGTGAGCTTAAGATATGATGCAGCATCTGTCATCTGTCAGTCTGGCACCCTTTCAACCTTTTTTCACGATTTCTTCTAGAAAACAGAAAAACTTAGGGTTCTTATATTTGGTAATTAATTAATTTAAGTGAAGTTATTTTCCTTAATCAATGGTAATGTTCAAGGTCACAGGAGTCAAATATGTTAAACAGTTAAGGACACACTTACTAAAGGAACCCTAAGGGGTACAGCCATGACACTTACGTAAGGTATACAGAACAGGTTTTTCCCCCTTAATATATTGTGTAGAGGTCAAAAATCAACTTTGAGTGCTGGCCTGGGTAAAATGATAACCTTGGGCTATAAATGGTAGAAATAACTGAATGAATGAAATAAAGTAAAATAACAAATAGGATTTTTTGTCTTCATTTTCAGGACGCCCATGGTTGTCCTTGTAAGAGGAAATGGAGTAATATGTTTTGCCATCATTGCTGACCTATCCAGATGAGCTGGTCAGGTCCCCTAGGCCTTTTGTATAAATATGACAGAAAGAACAATTTAGCCTGGTTCTTGCGATCCTATTTGGGTTCAAGGGAATATGAATTTAACATTGTACTTGTTCCATGCAATACTCGTCTGTAGGGTCAGGGGAAAACAATGTAATTTATTTGTACTGGTATACCATGCATTCTGATAATGGTTTCAAACATTTACAGTTAAACAGAATAGAAACATACAAATAAAGAAATAAAAACGTAGGCCCCTTTTTGTTGTGCATGTATTATTCAATGGATGAAATGTAAACAGTTATGATTATACTGGAAAAACGACTTTCAGCATACGGAAGGGAAAATCGTCGATGTTTTAAGTTCTTGGGGGAAAGGAGGTTTTACCAGCACTACGACAAAATGCAGTCATTTTGACAGACTAAATCCCATCACTCATCTTACGAATGTACCTTGCGAATAAAATCCATTCATCTGATCTTTAGACTTTTAAAAGTTTACATACGACGCTAAGCGAAAAAATGGACGACGATGGATGGGTTAAGGATTGCATTAGGTCCTTGAGCTTTTAGGTGTTAGTGACATACAACGGTTACAACACAATAATTTATTAAAACACGAAAAGCAGAGATCACGGGTCTGATTGTAGTGGTGTCTAGTTTTCAATATTGATCTTCTACAATAAAGCTTTTACGAGTGAATAATATCCTTATATCTTTGTCGGACTTATAATTCCACACCATGGCATCATATTCTTCATCTGATCTAATTACAATATACAATAACATGTATATATTAGCTTGCTTCGTGTTTTTCAGACATATATATTGTTAATTAGTGTATGAATAAACGCTTAATTATTGTGTATAACTTTGGTTAGTGTACTTATAAAAAGTTCCAAACAACATAAGAATTTTTGAGTACAGCAACTCAACTTGTCAAATTAAAAGTCTCCTTTATGATCAAAATAACATATATTATTTTCTTTTTTTCATGTCAAAACTCATCCTTCTTATAAGAAGAAACCCAGGAACGTATTATATCCAGACATGCACAAATGGTGAACGACTTATCTGACCATATTTACAAAGAATCAGAAGATTGGTTAAAATTTACAGCGTTAGTAAAGGCGTATATGCCCCCAAAGGCAGTTAAAGATAACCTTCAACAAATCGTAGACTACCTGATACAACAGCAACACATTTCTTACGGCCATTACGACAAGTTATATGAAGTTGTCTTTAAAATAAATAAAGCAGCTGCTGACATCATTAAGAAGGCAGAATCTGATATAAAAGCAATACAAGATGGAGGTAGGCATCTTATACTGTAATTATTATCTGTATGTCGTTAATTTGTATGATCTTTATTAGAGTTTCTTTAATTGTTTCAAAGGAAATGTGTTTTATACAGATATACGAGGTATTAATTTCGAATTGAGAATACAACACAACATAATGATATCACAAACACATGGAATGTGCAAATGTATATGAAAGTTTTTTTAAAAAAAGAAAATTCTACGTATGTTTCATGTATTCTCTAGACTCCGAGTCTGAAACCACTGAGAAGACCAAAATTGACCTAAAATGAAAGGTACGGTTGTCACAATATTGTGGGTACGTGTTATCGTCTACATAGTGATGGAATTCTTTCTGTTAAAAAGCGTCATTTTGACGAAGAGATATTCTGACTAGAACAGAACATATGGCTGCCCGATAAAAATATATTGAATCCCGAAAATCTGTATTATTTTTTTATTTTTTTTCATTTTCGCCTTTTTCACCCTCCGTGATGAGGGAGAATTTGTCTGCGAATATAAGTTTATACATAGTAACATAAAAATGTGAAGGAGAAAATTAACAATGGGCGAAAATTGATTTCACGGGCAAAAGACAAATGAGAGACTAAGCGAAAATGTCTAGGTATAAAGTATACGTTAAGGGGGCGTGGGTATATTCTATAATGTAAACATTAATGATTTACCGTTACAGGATCCGACTATCTCTACGAACCAAGAAAAATAATCAAGAGAAATCGAGATTGAACATCGTCTTGCGAATCGTCAAGTTTGAAGAAAGGACATGTGGAATTAAGTAAAAGGATTTATCAGCACCCATGAAATGGAACATCCGTAACCTTTGACAATAAATGTATTACGTCCTTGTCAATCAAACACACAAGTGATTTGCTGCTGGGCCATTCATACTTCTTCCTGCTGCGTGATTCGGGTTAGGGTTAGGGTTAGAGTTAGGGTGTGCTTAAGGACTTGTGTCGGTCTGTCAACTAACTGTACTACGTACATTTCCGCAACCGTCACGCCGAAAGACTTCGTATTTGAGTTTTTTAGGCCTCTTTATAAATTTCAACATACATTATATATATATATAAATATATCAAATTTCAGTTAACAAATTTATTATCTAATTTTTCATTTTGTGTCTGATAGATTTGTTTTCGGTCTTTACCTCCGATGTCGCATTTTCATGCAAATTTGAATTTTGATGCTATGAACAGCACAACTTAAACGTCATCACAGTTGTCAGTTGTTTTGTTACATATTAATAGTTTCGTTTCCAAATGTAAAAAGAAACATCGTACAGATGGCCTTCGATCAACTTGTTCTTGGTTCCAGACTTAATAACATATCGTTTTGTGGAATATTGAATATAAACAATCTGTATTGTAGCCATTTTAACTGCATTTGCAGGTTAGCGTTATGAATTAGCAGGCTTTTCTAAGAAGAAAAAAAGAGAAGACAACGAACAAATGAGAATTTGTTTTGTTAAAATAATTATGATTATATGTTAATTTGCAGAATTTTATCTTAAAAATCAGATCCCAAGAAAAATGGATCATATAGATAATTTAACTCAATCAAAACAACACCAAATCAAAGCAACACCTAAACAACACCAACAGAACCAAAGCAACACCTAAACAACACCAACAGAATCAAAGCAACACCTTAACAACACCAACAGAATCAAAGCAACACCTTAACAACACCAGCAGAATCAAAGCAACACCTAAACAACACCAGCAGAATCAAAGCAACACCTAAACAACACCAACAGAACTAAATCAACACCTAAACAACACCAACAGAATCAAAGCAACACCTAAACAACACCAACAGAATCAAAGCAACACCTAAACAACACCAACAGAACTAAAGCAACACCTAAACAACACCAACAGAATCAAAGCCGTAAATGTGGTAAAGAGTGAACAGAAATAGTTTGAATATAAACTGAGAAGTCATGTCCAATAATTATTTGTTCTTGAAGAATGAACTTTATTTGTAGAGTGAATATAAGATACATACAAATTTGCAGAAATTCTATTTCTTCGTTGATTTTTCTTTTAAAAAGATAAGACTTCTGTTTAATTTACATTTTTGTAATATGATAACATGTTTATAAATGAGAATTGATTAGAAATACATGTAGTGTCAATGAGTAAATAAATAAATGAAATGAAATTTATATTAAACAATGTTGTTTTATTTTTATTTTTTTCATTATTAAACGTAACATAAATTGGTCCAAAATGCTCAAAAGATTTTAAATCCTGTTCATATTGAATATATATAAATATGTAACCGCAAGAGGCCCATGGACCTTAACAGTAACTTAAGTATGTGTGTAGTTGTGATATGAACAAGTAATCAAAAATGGCTTTCTGATGGCAGATTCTCTGATAAAACGATGGAGGGTTGTTTAGTCCCCAAGGTTTGCTGTAACCGTTTTGGCAAAGGTAATCTCTTTTAATAATGGCACAGTTCATAATAAACATATTTTACAGTTTATCTAATTAGATATTAACCAATACTAACATCACCGATGGCTCCAGGAAGGACGAAACAGCTGTATGAAGCAATGTAACTCATGTTTGGCATACTGCATCTTTAACCATATTTGAATGATGCAATCAACTGTTTTCTTGTGAGTGTAACGTTATTTTTTTCAAACATGGTCCATACGTAAAGTATGTGATGGTCAGAAAAAGTGAAATATCCAAATAACAAACAGAAACTTGTAAAATTAGCCCCCTCTCAGGGCGGATGGGTCCCCAAAAAGGTACACTAAAGAAATTCAAATTTTAACAAAGCACATTCTCACCTTTCAACTCATAAAAAGGATTTTATTTTAGGATATTTGGGTCTAAAAACTTAACCCTTTGATGTCCAGCCCTACATGCTCCTCAGAGTGTGTCTGCACTCATGATAATCATTCCAACCATTTTTTAATTCTCTTCACTGTAAATTAGCTGAACAAGGGTTACTTATCTATTTTAACTGTAACAGGTTAGATCCATATCATTCATATTTTGGTTTTCCTTTATCCATGGAACCTTACAAAATGTTTGTCCGGGGCATATCTTCTGTACTATTTCACTTGGAGTAACCGGAATTGATGTACACGAACATCTGAGGATGGCCGAGTGCAGAGTTTAAGAATTAGGGAACTGTGACCTATGATTGACCTTTGACCTTTACTTTTGAAAATGTTTGCCCCGGTCATATCTTCTATACTATATCACCTGGAGTATCGGTATTCGGTGCACGATGACATCTTGGAATAGCAGAATGCAAGACTTAGGTCACTGTGAAGAATGACTTTACCTTTGACCTTTAATTTTCAAAAAGTTTGTCCGGGGCATATCCTTTATACTTGTTCACCTGGAGTAACCAGATTTGGTGCACAAGGACCTCTTGGGGTATTGCGGAACGCAAGAAGTTGGTCACTATGACATCACTGTGACCTATGTTTTCTGACATAAATGTACTGTTCGTTAAATATAGCAATCATCACTGGTGGGGGACTATGAATCGCCTTGAAATACTTTGCCTTGTTGTTTTGAAAATGCAACACATTTCTTTTTCAGTTTATATTTATAGGTTTCAGCGATAGATGTTCCTTATTAATTACAATTATCTAGGGTGTTTGGAATTCAGTTTTATTCATCAAATCAGTCTCAATATGTCACACTGTATGACATTAAAAACATAATCATAAATTGGAAAGCCTGGTGGAAATGCTACCTAAAGTAAAGGCTACAGACAGTTAACCTGTATTTTTGTATGCCCATCAAAACCTTGATATGACGTATTGTGGTTAAATTTTGTTTAATTTTAATGAAGCTTGGTAAACAGGTACAATTTACAAAGACGGAGCAAGTTTAAAGCTGGGCAAAACCTGTGAATTATTAATTAGCATAATGTCAACTGATTGGTTGATTGTCTAAGTCTTCTGATTTACAACCGTGACAAGTTTTTTGTTGAAACTTTGTCAATATTTATGTTATACAAAAACAAAGACTTAATTTGAATTTTAGAAAAAATCTGCACATAATTGTTTAACCATGGTGAGCTTTTGCTGTACTGCAGCGTTCGTTGTTCGTCCGTCCGTCCGTCCGTCCGTCCGTCCGTCCGTCAGCTTTTCCTTTAAAACACTACTAGTCCTGAACAGCTTTATGGATTTGACTAAATTTGGCCTGGAGCACCCTTGGGCAAAGGGGGCAATATTTTGTGTGAATGGGGTATGGCCCCTCTGGGTGCAGAGGGGCGGGGCCCAATAGGGGAATTTGAGGTTTAAATATTTAAAATCCGTCTCCTTCTGTACTATTTGAGAGATTTTATTTAAATTTGGCCTGAAGCATCCTTGGGTTAGGTGGACAAAATTTTGTATAAACCGAGGGTGTGGCCCCTCTTGGTACTGAGGGGTGGGGCCCAATAAGGACATTTGAGGTTTAAATATTTAAATCCTTCTTCGGTACCATTAGAGAGATTTTATACAAATCTGTCATGGAGCACCTTTTGGCAAGGGGGACCCAATTTAAAGGAATAATGTGTCCCTCTCTCATTTGGGGCAGATGGTCAAGGCCAAATAGGGGGACAAAGTAATAAATGATTCAAATTCTTCTCCTTTTGAATGGTTTTAGAGATTTCAAACAAATTTAGATAATCCTTGGGCAAAAGATACTGTATGTAAATAGAGGGTTGCTATTAGGGTTCAGAAAGAAGGGACAATGAGAGACAAATCCAATATTTGGAAATAGTTGTTATATGTAATAAGAATAATTGTCCATGGTTGCTTTATTATCCAGGTGAGCGATACAGGCTCCTCTGGCCCTCTTGTTTTAATAATTATTGAAAGATATTTTGATTATCGGTAAGAAGGTGGATTGATACTCAAACTGAAACACGTATTGCACAACTCATTATGAATAGATTATTCATAAAGAAACAAAACATCATCAAAGTTTAAATATCATTCTTTTTCCACAGAGTAAGAAAACGATTTTTGCACTTGAGGTATCTTCTAGCAGAAATTAATTTACCATGTGGAGTTTGGCACTGCTGTGAAATAAACCTGGGTTCTAACATCTCCAGACCAAGGGACAGCCACAGTATCTTACCTGTAATTTACCTGTATACCTGCTGGACAGATAAAGGAAAGGGCTGGATTAATTGACATTGGATTAATTACCTTCACACAAGGTCAATAAGATTAGGTAAAGCCTATCAGAATCCCATGTAACCAGAGGTGAATGGTCAATGTCCATATAAATTGAAAAGAAAATGAGCCGTTGGGTGGTCATGATGCCCTAGCAACTGTATATAAGCTGTTACTGAAGTGTTGTAACTTCACTAAAAATCATAAATGTTGGAACGATGAGCAGTAATAAGTGAAAGACAAGTCGAGGTTTATAAGAAAGATGACATTGGTAAAAGTATAGTCAAGTTTATTCTCAGTGACGAATGATGAGGAGAGGAGTACATGGAACGGACAACAAAAACACAGCACATGCATGACACTAACCACTAATACATAGTCCGTCGGATGGGACTATAAATGGTGACCCGTGAGAGAACGGTCCAATCTCGCACGGAAAAAATCTCCCTGGGTTTGTCGAAAAAGAGTAGGCGCGTAAACGCCGACACAGAAGATAGTGAAAACTTTATCCAAAACTTTAGGCTGTTAGAACTAGGGTCTCTTAATTAAGACATTAGATTGACTTCCAAATAGTATATACAAGCCAAATTCATAGAATAGGCAGGGGCTGGTATGGCTGGAGGCGGCACAGTACCTCACTTTCGGTCCAGACTTGGTGATGCTGTACGACAAGTGTTAGGTTAAGGCATTATTAGGCATAGGAGCCGTCTTACAAAAACTAGACTTATACAGTAAATATATATAGGATAGACGGCCCCTTCTCTAAGCTATCCCCCTCCTCTACTCTTTTACTTATACTTTATCCCTTCTACTCATTTTCCTTTCTGTTCATCGTCTGCTGGATAACCGAACCACTCACTAATGAAGCGGACGTAAAACCTATCAATCAATCAATCAAAATATTGTAACTTGAAGTTCCCTCAGATTTAAATACTTCAACATATTTGTTTTATTGTTTATAATGGTTACAAGAATAAGATGTTAAATTGCATCGGTTGATCGATTATACCCAACTGTGAAATTTTATCTTTATATATTAAAGCATACTTGAAGAAAGTTTTTTCACTTTTATTTCAGCATCATTTTAGATAAAAACAAATTTATGATATCTAACATTATTAGAAGGCAAGCACACTACAGTTCACCCAACTGGATACTGGATGCTAGGAAAATCAACATTGAATAAGCATTTGTGAATTTGATGTGAAATCCTTTTATTGGACCCAAAAGTCTGGAGTAGGTGGGAGAAATGCCCAAGCACCCTGCCAAAATACCATTTTCCTACACCATTGCACCTATTTGCATTTGCACCAAGACATTTATATACGCATATCTATATATTTATACAGAGTGGAGGCAGATGAACACATGATTGTTTTTCATGAGCAATGTGTATGAAACAGACAAAAATACAGCCAACAAAGCAAAGCTTGAAGCTTGCATCAATTGAAACATGTATATATGTTACTCCTTCAAGGACAAAACGTTAATTTGTCATTTATAGTAAAGTTCAAGATAGCAAGCTTGATATATACATTATTATTATATTTAAGTAGGCTCCACCCTTTCGCAATTAGCCAGCAGAATTCAATGAAAGTTTCAAAGAATGGTTATGTCACTATGTAGAGATGATTTAATGAAAATCAAAATTCCGATAGACTGGGGATTTTTTTGTAAAAAAAATACCGAAAAATTGAATTTTACAAGAAAAACATGTGTATTACGAAGGGTGGACAGTCCTTAATATATATTCAAACTGGGAACATACATACATACATACATACATACATACATACATACATACAGGAAACGCATAGTTATGTATACTACTATAGGTCTCTGATACATATATTTCACATTACTTGCATTAGGAACATAGATGTCCCTGACAAACTTGCAGCCTCTCCCTTTAGTCATGTACCAGTATCCT